TTTAAAAAACAAAGTTTGGAAATGCCTACTTATTTAAAAAAAAAAACTGCATGAAAAAAACCATCATTGTAATTTACTTAACTGAAAAATGTTCTACATAATATGTGCCTTATATGTTAAACAAACATGTAAAATTGTTAAATGGAACGAACTGCCCCCCGAGATCCGGATGATTCCGGATCTCCTTACTTTCCGCCGCGCCCTCAAGACATGGCTTTTCCAGCAAGTGGGCCTGACCTAGGGAGGATTTTAGGTAGGGATGATTTTAACAGCAATTTTAATTGGAAACACAGCCGTCAATATTTGGTTTTTAATTCGGTTTTTATTGGGGTTTATATTTTTGTGTTTTTGTATTTTTGTATTTGTGAATAGTATCTGTTTTTTAAATATGCTGTGAACCGCCCTGAGTCCTATGGGAGAAGGGCGGTATATAAATTAAATTATTATTATTATTATTATTATTAAATTGCCCTCATTTAATATGTTCATTATTTCTTTCTACAACTGAGGACTACATTCAATTCCACATTAAAATATTCAAATCTATCATTCCCTTTTTTACTATTTTCCTTCAATTTGGTATAACTTCCAAAACTGTTTGAAAAAGTTTCCTAAATCTATGTAGCAAATCTTGAAAATGCATATCATTTAAAGGAAAGAAGAAATCCAATCCACCAACAATGTCTATGCTATAACACAATACAATCTGATAAAAGCGAGAATATTCATGCTTAAAGTAAATATTTGGATGGATGCATGCATGTATGTCCGAGTGTATGTGTATGTATAGTACTATGTTAGTTTAGGATGAAGATTGGATATTGCATGTAAAATATGTCCTAGACTAAATATTCCCACACCCATTATATGAAATTTCAGGAGAGAATTTATCTTCTTCAAGGAGAAAAGTATAAATCTATGTTCTTTTTATTCAGCTTTCCATCTGTAAGGATGAATGTCAAGCTACGAAGAATGCCTATGCTGTGTCAGCCATTATTGCTTCTTAGCTTGCCTATGAATTGGGGGGAAGGGAGGGGAGAATGGAATTCAAACTGCTGATATCAAGAGGCCCGTTCATTAGAACCAAGGACTTTCAAGATTTGTTTACTGAGAACAAAGGGCATTCTCTCATAATAATTCTCTGACTTATAATTGGATAATGTAGCCTGGATTAATGAGGGGAGGGAGGTTTTGATAATTTTCATATAGCAATTTAGGCGCGAAATAACCTGAGCTGGTTTTTCTTTCATCTGTGCCGAAATGATTTGCTCAATAAAGTTTTGCATTAGAGATTGTATCATCTCACTGGGTTCATCAATCGGAACTCTGATAATGAATTGATATCTGGATTCATTTTCTATTCTTTTTTGCTTTCATGTACAAGTATAATCAGAGCCAATTCTCTGGTTCATTTGGGGGTTTTTTTTAGTTTTTAAATATCCCTTGCATATATAGTACACAAGCACAATTTATAGCTGACATTTTCACTACTATAAAGTCCTTTTTCCCGGTAAAACTTCAACAGGTAAGAAGTAATGTTATAAAGATATAAATAACATGTCCTTTTTTATTCTCTCACTAGATTCTTGTCCATCTCTGTCACATTCACAAGATAATACCGCAGAAAATAATGCTTTTTAAAAAAAATAAACAGTGAGATTTTTGCTTATCTCCAAGCTTCAAAAGAAAAACAAATCTAAAACAGAAGAAACAAAACATTGTTCTTGGATTTACGGTAAGTATCCTATTTATGATAGGCAAACATTTCAGGAGTCTCAGGGAAGAGTCCTAGTAACTTAAAACTGAACTAAAAACCAGTAAATGTCATTATTAGTCTTGAAACTATTTCCCAAATCTCTTCCAAAATAAAATCCAGTGACAACATGACTATTAAGAAGTAAGTGCAACTCAAGGGAGACTTCTCTTTTAATCAGTGAAATATAAAATGGGTTAGGAAATCATGCCTTATACTTAAAATCAAATATATGCAGATACACTATGTCAGTTAACTGTATGCAATTTAATCAAGAAATACATTTTGCATATGTTCCTGATCCATTCATTTTTCATTTCAAATACTTTAAATATGTAAATGTTATTACTTTCTACTTAATCAAATTTGTCATTAAAATGTGGTAAGTTCATTTTGAATCCCTACATTCATTTGAAAGTCAGACTGTTTTTAAAGCAATGTATAGAAATTTCTATATGTCAATTTTAAAAAAAGGTATTGCAAAAAAGCACACTGTACTAAATTTTACTTCTTTTTCACTAAAACATAGGTAATTTAATCTAAACACAACTCACAGAATACCTATTTGTGTAAATACTGTGACTAAAGCATTTGTCTCTCCCCTGCTGTCTGATGCGGTTATAGTAGATGGCTACTTATACCAGGTAATAACCAATACAGTATTACCACTCTCTGACATGGTAGAAAAATTTGTTCTTTTCCAGCTTCTAAAACTGTTGCATCTCAGAAGGCCTCCACTTTTAGTAACTTGGATTCCCTAACTACTTAAACTGTTAACTGTGCTGATTTGTGGATTTTTAATTTAATTTAATTGTATTTCATGTTATAAAGTGCGTATGACAGTTTTCCCACTGGGAAGAAATAAGTGTATATGTTTGTGTTATCTAATATAAAGAGACAATTTTATTTCAAATTATAACACATACAAATGTGGCTATTTTATTTGGACAATCTGGTAGGCAAATGTTTTCTTTTCTCAGTGAACAGATGCAGCCTTAACCCAGTGGTGGGATTCAGCCAGTTTGCACCACTTCAGCAGAACCAGTAGCTAATTTTTTGCTGCCCACGCCCAGAAAAGACTTCCAGAAGCAGCATCCACACAGAGAACCGGTTGTTCACATATTTGAATCCCACCACTGCCTTAACCCTATGACGAACCATGGTAAATGTTAGGCTAGGTAAAAGGCCTGATGATGAAGAACATCAAGTGGTGGAATGGAGTGAGAGTATAGACTGAAGGCATTCAGGGCCCTTAACACAAATTTAGAAGTTGAATGAATAATAATTAAGTAAAGTCAGTATAGAAAGTATCTATCATTTACAATTGAAGAAATTCTGAAAAAGCTATCTTTACTCTCTGTTTAATTTTTGAATTTCACCTTTCACAAAGTTACCAATATTTACTTTTTCAGCCTGTTGCATACATAATTAATCACTGCTTAGCATAACTGTAGATATAAGCACTTGTAAAATCATCTGCATATCAGTATTCAAAATCTGAGGCTTAAATATCTGGAAAATTATAATGTGTAAAAAATTGACTTTCTTACTGATGAAGGCAGTATTCTCACTGCCCTGTCTCTTCCCATAAATGGCAATACAGTATCTACCAATACTATTCTATTTCTATAGAAATAAATTGTAACCAATAAAGCCCTTCACCATTATCTCCAGACAAGCAAGTTACATACAGGAAAACAACTGCTGCAAATTCAGTACACATAGTCAGGGTCTTCAAAATTGGATAAAATGATAAGTCAGCATTTTTATAACAGCAATTCACCTTCTTAATGACTATTTGGGAAGTGTTGCAACAAGGTAATACTTTGCCATATAAGGTAATAACATACCTGTAGCCAATAAAAGAAAAATGTCATGTTATTCTTGTCTTTGAAATTACAAACACTGTAATTTTTATCTTGTGGGGCAGGTTCTAAAATATGTTAGCTAATAATCTTTTTTCTCTCTAATGATTATTATCTTCTTTTTATTGGCTGTGGGATTCTTATTCCAAAACAATTCCATTTCTGATTAGCTTTTTTCCATTATGCATTTTTTGTTGTGTTCTGAATATAGAAAAAGACATTTTTATTTAGTTTTAAAGGTACTTCTATTTTTTGTTTTAGTTCTCACTGTTTACTGTAGCTGGTATGTTGTCATAAAATATTCACACTAAGAAGCAATGTGCTGCTAAGATCTGGGTAATTTGAGAACAACATGGTTACCAAAATATCTGGTTTTAGAACAACACATCTAACAGGTTTTCTGGGATGTTCTTAGTAGTAATAATTACTTCTCATATAAGATATAAAAGAGAAAATTCTGAATCAGTGCCTTATTAATGTAACCATGTTAACAATGAGGGATGGAATAATCTCTAAAGATGCAGCCTTTTGTCATAATTTAAAAATTAGCATCAGCATCAAATGAGACTCCTCTAGAAAATAAGCTGAATTTTTAAAGTATGAAAGTACAGTTATTAATACAATTTTAGGAAAAATAAAAATATTAAAGAGAATCTGTTTCATTACTCCTATTTGTGAGATATCCAGGGATAAAATCTTCCTTTTGTCCATTATAAATACATTAATATATTTAAATGTGAGCTTTTCAAATAAGAGTTAACTGTGAAAGTAATTACATTTTACATGTTTAGCATTATTAGCAAAGCAGCTGACAACCAGCAAATTTGAACACTTTGGGTTGGATTAGATCTGAAGGAGATGGTGTGAGACAGAGGGGCATGGAAAATGCTGATCCATTGAGTGGCCAAGGGTTGGACACAGCTGAATGGCTGAAAACAATGACAATGGGTTATATTATTGGATTTAAAATGGCAAGTCCACACTTGAACAAGATCCAACAACCTAATGTTTATAATGCAAAGATCTGAATGTCAAGTCATTAGAATGTGTTTTAGGACGCTATCAACTATCCTATGATACCAAATACATGAATTTGCATTTTTTAAAGTGACTTTCACAATGCCTATAAAAAGTTATTTTAAAAGTGGCGTTAGATTTAACCTGGGGAAGTCAGCTACAAAGATTATTTGGCAATTTTAGAGTAGTTCATTTGTTCTCAGCCCAACTTATCTTGATGAGGGAATAAAGGTAAGCTGCTTTGAATTATCAGAGAAAAGATGTAATAATATATATGAAACATTACTTAATGAATAGTACTAGTAATAGTAATTGAATACTTTAAAAAACATACAGCATGTAAAAGTGTTTCCAAGATAACTGACCTGAGGATCTGAGAACACCTGCTTCATATTGTTGATTGGACCGTATGGAACTCCACTGCCTTCAAAATGGTCTAGCCATTTAGAGGTTTCTTCTTTCAAGAACCTAAGAATAAACAGGAGGGGGGAAAAGAGTAAAAATGCATTTTAAAAAATAGCTATTAGCAGCAGTCAATAATGCAATAAAAATGTTCTGCACATGTTCCTCAGAAATGGAGAAAACCAAGCCTGGAGGCAAAAATCATGGTTAGACTGACTTCCAATCCTATCTGATTTTCTGATGCAAGCCAGCAGTGATACAAACCAAAATTATCAGAAGTTTCAAATAGAAGTCAGTATATTTCCTCCCAATCTTAATTACGGTAATGAGCTTCACATTTTTATTTCATGTTTTTAGTTTTTCACAACAACAACAAGAGATAGATGTGATGTGGTTAAGAGCCACATACATGAAAAACTGTTCTATTTTTAAATACAATGCTCCAATTCAAAGCCTCACAAAGTGTTTTCCTCTGCTACATCTGAAACACATGTCTCAATTAAGAACCACAATTGTTGGTCAGATGACAATATTGATTACGTGTTTATATGTTGTATGACTGTAATATTTGTCCCAAGGTCATCCGGTTGCAAATCAGATACATTAGCCTTATCCTGCTTGAAACAAAATTCCACTCTTTTATTGGATTGCCTTCTCAGGACCACTTATATAATTATACTTTATTATCATATTCACATTGTTAGAGATATCCTGTGGGGGTTTTTTTGTGACTTTATCCTTGGGAGATAGAGTTATTGGTAGCAGCAATTCATGCACTATTCCAAATAAACACAAACATGAAAGAATATTATGACTGCAATCCTACATGTTAACGTTACTGAATTTAAAGGAATATATTATCTTATAGTATGTCTATAAGATTAATATTTTACAATCAGAGAACCCAGTTTGCACCTCGTGAAAAGCCAGAATTGTTGCTTTTTAGCAATTACTTGAGATGTTCAAACTTTACTAATTTCTAAATGGGATGACTGATAGCTTTCAGATGAATATAAAATCCTGGACTTCCATGGAATATCTGAAAAACAGTTCTTGACTATTTCAAAATACACAGATATATACAGGTAGTCCTCCACTTACAACAGTTCATTTATTGACCATTCAAAGTTACGACGACACTGAAAAAAGCGATTTATGACTGTTTTTCACAGTCATTTTTCACTTATCACTGCTGCAGCATCCCGATGATCATGTGATCAAAATTCAGATGCTTGGTAACTGACTTATATTTATTATTGCTGCAGTGTCCCGGGGTCATGTGATCACCTTTTGCGACCTTCTTATAAACAAAGTCAATGTGAAAGCCAAAATTACTTAACAACCGTGTTACTAACTTAACAACTGCAGTGATTCACTTAACAACAATGGCAAGAAAGGACATAAAATGGGGCAAAATTCACTTAACAAATGTTTCACTTAACACTTTTGGTTTTATCACTGCTGGCTTGATCAGAAAATCATATGGTCTTGTAAAAATTAATCAGCAAATTGAACTGAAGAAGCTTCTTGAATGAGGTAAAATGTTTTCAATAAAAATCAAGGAAATCCAGAAGCTGTTTGGAGAAAAGCACCTTTGAAATATTCAATTACTGGTTACTACTCATACTTCACAAATTGAAAAAATCAGAAATTAATAGATTTTTTAAAGTTATCTATCAGATATATGATTGTGAAAAAAATCAAGGCTGAATTACCTTTTCCTTTAGATTCATGTATTTTAACTAGATGAAAGTACTGGCTAAAAATTAAACTAGTACCAAACTGAAACTTATAATTAAGCTGTTTTATTTATGTTTTTATTTCTTAGCCATTTTAACCAAGCATTTACTCACCTAATATCTCCAGTTATCCACTTTTTAATAAAATTATGTGATTCATACATTTTCTTTAGACTATATTGTCTGTGTGTTTCTGCATGCACGCACACATGGATGCACACTCCAATATTTGTTGTTTGTTTCTTGTTGGTGTTCTTTCCTTTTTTCCTTTTACTATTTTTAATAATTTTGTTCTATTATGTCTTATATGCAAACTTGCTCAAGAGAAGATTGCTTTGAAGAAATCTTTGGTACCTGACAGTTTTATTAGCACACATTGCCCTGCCATTAATGCTAGCCATATCAAAAAAGCTTAAATATTGTTTACATGTTATTAACCATTTACACATGATACATATATACATAATGTCCAGAATGATAAACCTAAGAAATAAATTTGCAAATAAACATATTCAATGTTAAGGACATACCTGGCTGACAATATTCCAATAAGTTCGTTCCTATTTACCACTCGCTGCTGGTTATCTTTGTATTTGGGGTCATGAATGATTTCAGGCAAATTGAGAATCTTAATCAAATGAGACAAAATACATTCAGGAACATAATGCCAGAGGAAGTTCTAAGCTTTGGTCTTTAATGTAAGTTTATGATTTATTGAACATAACTTATTTTAATAAATAATATACATTTTTAAAAATATATTTATATGTATGATTATTTAACATCACATCTATATTTCATTCATTTAGTTATTTCAAATATTTCTACTATGAAATTTCACTCTGCATTTACAAAACCATTTATACAGTACATGTCAAAGATAATAATTCTAGAAATCTGTAGATAACAATATTAATTATATTTGCCACTATGCTGATAATTTTGATTTACTATGTTTTTATTCTGCTAAGGGTTTTAAGCAATACCAACTTCTTTGGCCTACAGTGGAAGTATTTCATGGAACAAAAGACTATGTTTCTGAAGAAATGAAAAATGGTATTTGTATCTGTAGCCAATCTGTCATTTAGATATTTAGGTGAATTGCTAAATAATCTACTTTCTTCTTTCATAATTTGTAATAAGATTACAAATTAAGTTAAAAGTAATGAACTAAGAGTTTCACTTAGTCTGACAGAATAAATCTATTAACCTGAAATCAGCCATTTTGTCCCCCAAATGTTGGGAGCTAGGTAGGTTTCTGGGTGAACTTCTAATCCTAAATGATACAATTACAATCACCACTAGATTTTCATGTGAAAATAATTTCTTCATCCTACAGTAACCTTTTAAAAACTACATATGACCTATTGTCATTTTAGCTATCTCCCTTGTGGCTGGGCAACCAGAGGTCAAACATCAGCCAGAGAATATTTTGTTCTGCATACCAAAGCTAAAAGAGATAAGCAAAGTCCAGGCTAGCAATTCACAAAAAATTTCCAATGATTCCTCCTACATGCTTCTTCTCCCCACCCCCAAATGCCCATCGCTCCTGCTTCCCCCCATTTCTGTGGCAGCCGGCAACAAGCTGGCTAACATTCAGCATATTGCCCCCAAGAATCTGGATCCTCATTTTACGGATCTTGGAAGGATTGAAAGCTGAGTCAACCTTGAGCCTTGTCAGGATTTGACTTTAGGTTTTGGGCAGAGTTTGCTTGCAATACTGCATTCTAACCACTGTATCACCAGAGCTCCTAGTTGTTACTTACTATTTGCTAGTAAGTCAGAGAAACAGCTTACTTAAAGTTGTTTTGTTTTCTGAATACCATACCTTGCAAACAGTAGCAAACTGTTGATTGTTTCCTGCTCCTATCACAATATATCCATCTTTTGTTTTGAAAGCCTAGTAAACAGAAAGGCAGATCAAATCATAATCAACACACACATTACATTAATATTTTTTCCACTTTCCTAACCATCAGTTACTTACATGCACTTTCATGTTTTTGCAGGTAAGTCAACATTTACAAATTCTAATAATCTGAATATAAAGTGTAAATTAAATTTCATGTCCTGGTTTACTCTTTTCTGAAATCATTATGAACAATTTCTCCAAACATATCTCAATTATTTAAATAACTTTTTTTGGTTTAGCTCCTACGAACAAAAAAAATTAAACAACTTTATTATTATATATGTCAATAAAATTATGTTACTTCAGGTTAAGAGATTTTCATCAGTGCTATAAACTGCAGATATATAAATATACTGAAATTTAGAGTCACTAAAAGATGGTCCATGTATGCATATGCATCACTTGATGAGGCTTTGTGATAATTTGTCTATGAATTTGTCCATTACAATCAGTAAGTTTTCACACCACTTAATAGTTAAATATAATAAATTTAAGTGGTTTTGTTCATATGGTAGTATATGCTGATCAATATGTCATTATTTCATCTGTGTGATGCAAGAGTTACTGATTCAATGGGATTTTCTTTTTTCAATCTTGCTGTGATATACACACAGAAACAGCCTGTCATCCACATACATGATCCTCTAAGTTATAGAAACTTTGTTGTATAAGGGAAATGTACCGATGGATTCAATAAATTGCTACCAATTACACTGAAGTATTTTAACTTAATACAATATTTCCTCTTATAAGCCATGTGGTCCTTTTTTGTGTAGTTTTCATTTTAAAATATACTGTTTATAATTAATATACAGAAGACCCATTTAATACAATAATTCCTCACATTTATTGGTTTAAACCAATGAAGTTTGTTGAAATTAGTATCCGTTTATTTCAAAAAGATGCAAGATGTCATGATTAGCCTATCCCACTATGTCTAAGTTACTCTAGAGCCAATATAGTTTTATTCTCTGAGCATGTTTTCAGATACTATCTGTACCACAAACCAGCTGAAAGAAAAAACTGCTGTAAGGTGCTTTTGCTTTCTTCCATTGAAATGCCATTGTACTCTAAATAAGAACCATTTTATATAGGGAAACCATTGCTTACTTCAACATTATTACTGTTCAACAGCACTGTTAAATGTGTTTTTTGTGTCTTATGTTAAACTCACTGCTGGAAGTGAAGAATTTTGAAAATAAGGGCATGGAGATTAATAGACGCCAACTTCAGGAATAAAAATCTATTTAAGTCAAAATACAGATAGCCCTCAACTTATAACTATTCATTTAGCTACCATTCAAAGTTACAACAGCACTAAGAAAAGTGACTTATAACCATTAGTCATACTGTCACAGCATCCACATTGTCACATGATCAAAATTTGGGCACTTGACAACAAGCATGTATTTATGATAGTTGCAACATCTGGGTCATGTATGCATCCTTTATGATTTACTTCCTAGTCAGCTTCCAGCAAGCATTTGATAAAGTAGATCACAACCTACTACTCGATAAGATAGAAAAATGTGGGTTAGACAGCATCACAACCAGATGGATTCGTAGCTGGCTGACCGGCCATACTCAATGTGTGGTCCTCAATGGAACTACATCTACATGGAGGGAAGTGTGTATTGGGTGCCCCAGGGCTCTGTTCTGGGCCCAGTGCTCTTCAGCATCTTCATCAACGATTTGGACGAGGGGATAGATGGGGAACTCATCAAATTTGCAGACGACACCAAGCTGGCAGGAATAGCCAACACTTCAGAAGACAGACTGAGGATACAGGAGGATCTGGACAGACTTGAACAGTGGGCACTATCTAACAAAATGAAATTCAATGGTGAAAAAAGTAAGGTTCTACATTTAGGCAAGAAAAACCAAATGTACAGGTATAGTATAGGGCAGTGATGGCGAACCTTTTAGAGACCGAGTGCCCAAATTGCAACCCAAAACCCACTTATGTATTGTCGGGTGCCAGGTGCTCATAGCCCATTGGGTGGGCGTGGCCCATTGGGTGGGCATGGCCCATTGGGTGGGCGTGGCTGCAGTGGTAATGGCAGAGTGGGTGGGACTAAAAAGTTCAATCAATTCCAACTTTGTGAGATCTTTTTTTTTTTCCTGCGAGAAATTGATTGATTGAACCTTTTTTTTTTGCACATGGCGCCAGAGGCCTAAAGCGAAAAGGTTTTATAAAACCCAGCTAAAGGCCTAAGACTGGGGCGACAGCGCGTGTGCCCACAGAGAGGGCTCTGCGTGCTGCCTCTGGCACCCGTGCCATAGGTTCGCCACCACGGGTATAGGGAGTACCTTGCTCAATAGTAGTATCTGTGAGAGGGATCTCAGAGTCCTAGTGGGCAATCACTTAAATATGAGCCAGTGGTGTGCTGCAGCTGCCAAAAAAGCCAACACAGTGCTGGGCTGCATTAACAGAGGGAAAGAATCAAGATCACGTGAAATATTAATACCACTTTACAATAACTTGGTAAGGCCACACTTGGAATACTGCATCCAGTTTTGGTCACCACGATGTAAAAAAGATGTTGAGACTCTAAAAAGAGTACAGAGAAGAGCAACAAAGATGATTAGGGGACTGGAGGCTAAAACATATAAGGAATTGTTGCTGGAATTGGGTATGCCTAGTTTAATGAAGAGAAGGACAAGGGGGACATGATAGCAGTGTTCCAATATCTCAGGGGTTGCCACAAAGAAGAGGGAGTCAAGCTATTTTCCAAAGTGCCTGAGGGCAGGACAAGAAGCAATGGATGGAAACTAATCAAGGAGAGCAGCAGTCTAGAACTAAGGAGAAATTTCCTGACAGTTAGAACAATTAACCAGTGGAACAACCTGCCTCCAGAAGCAGTGAATGCTCCAACACTGGAAGTTTTTAAGAAGAGACTGGACAACCATTTGTCTGAAATGGTATAGGGTTTCCTGCCTGAGCAGAGGGTTGGACTAGATGACCTACAAGATCCCTTCCAACTTTATTATTATTATTATTATTATTATTATTATTATTATTATTATTATTATTGATCATCGCACAGCCAGCCAGATGTTCAGACTGGATTTGGCATTTTTGTCTACCTATCGAGTCGTTACCAAGGACCTGGGATAGGCAGATGTGGATGTTTGATGGTATCACAGATACCGTCGCAGGATGGAAGCGGTTCCTAGTGAGGCCTTTTGCAATTGACTAATGGTGACTTTGTCAATGCCAATGATGATGATGATGATGATGAAGATGATCATCAAATTCAATGAGGGAAACTGAATTTGCTTAGCAACTGTGTGATTCACTTAACAACTGCAGTGATTTGTTTAACTGTGGCAAAAGAGATGGTAAAAATTAATAACAGCCCTGTTTAGCAGTGGAAATTGTATCATAAGTCCATTAGGATGGAATAAAACATTCCTCTCACTCATCAATATATATTATGTAGGAAATGTATTTATGTTTTATTTGCTTAGCATATAGAATGCAATTATGGCATTTTCACAAAATTAGATGTTCAATTTCTTCCTACTATTATCACTTCAAAACGATCACATAGTACATTACTTGTTTGGAGATTCCCAATAGTCGATCTTTCAGACATAATTAAATAGCATCAATCATTAAGATCTTTACCGTCTATTCCAGCCCTATCTTGATTTCCAAAGGACAGACTTTTGCATCTGAAAATTAGCCATAACAACTAAGAAATCCTCTGTTTTTCTTGAGAGGAAAATTCACTGCAAATTGTTTTCAAGTCTAGACCTCAATATTCCTATCTTGAGTATGAACATATATAAAATGTAGAAGTACTCTGAAAACAAATAATATCTAACTTATATTATGAAGGAAATGTTTAAAATAGACAAGGAGCATGTGCTGAATTCAAATATTGTTTATAATGTCAGGGACAACAAAATTCTGTAAGTCCTGAAGCTATGAATGGTTTCCTTGGAACCAGAAGTTCAAAGAATTATTACACTATATTTTTAAAGACCTTCCAACAGCATTTCCTGTAGCAGTTCTTGTGTTGTAGTATACCTTATCATGGGTGTTTACATAATAAATACAGGGTTTCAAAAATTAAAAATTTAAGACAGAATCAAAGTATTTTTTAAAAAGTAATATTATATAAAACCTTGGCTGTTTTCCCACAGAAAAGTGTAATCTGAGACTTCACTGCTTCTAACAATGTAAAACAGGCAATTCCAAGAACAGAAACCTATATTATTTCAGCGTCTACAATTAGCAGATTCTTCTAACTACAGCACTTCTGGTAGAAATAAACTTTGCGAAAACAACTAATGCAAAACAAGACACTAGAGGTGCAATTCAGCCACTGTATTAAAAGTACACTACTACTACTGCTTGTTCTGCATACTAATTTCACAGCTGGACCTGGATCACATCTGGACAATCATAAAGGTTGAAGGTTTTTTGTCTCGAGATTTTGAACTGAAATATATCTTGAACGGTGAGAGAGATGAAATATAGTGCCATCGAGACAAACTGCTGCCAAGAAAAGGCAAAGGTGGGAAATGAAACAATCCCATTGAGTTTGGTTAACATATGCTCCAATGACAGCTTGTGTTTTACAGTCTGACTTATAGCACACATATATATTCTTACTGTACGGTTTACTAAATTATTTTTAAAGTTGTAACTGGTTTACTAACTCTATTTTCCTATTATTCTTTCAGCTTGGGGGAAAACTCTTTTGCTATAACTTAGTTCATTTGCTGTATTCCCACTTCTTAGGGGACTATTGGGAAGACTGGAACAGGTGACCAGACAGATGACAGGACACAATCATCTTCCTTCCACTCATTTTTGTAGGTTTTTCTCTGGATACAGTTCTCTGACATCCTCTTTCAGTTTATAGATAATTGTAGAACAGTAATCTAGAGTATACTGAAGAAAAGGAAAAGAAAATATTTATCACTGTCTAGCCAAACACTTTTAAAAAGCTCTGTGGAAAATTATTCTTTTGAAC